TTTTTTTTTTTGTCAACATTTATGTTTGCAGCGAATGGAAATTTTCAATTTTAAATTACAAATTATCATATGTTATATGATTGATTTTATCTCAAACTGAATCAATTCCATGAACGAACATGTTATTTGATCGTTGATCGTATCTTTGCTGAGTCATTTTTAATATCGATCAGGTATAAAAACATACATACCTGCTCAACATGCTTTCCAACTCAATGACACAAATGAATGATGCACGCACACATACACGCATACATACAAATGCAATACATACATGTATCAATTAAAATTTAAATGAAGAGAAATATCGGTTGCAAAGTGCTCACTTCATGATTATTTGAAGGCCGTCACAATTCGAGAATCGTTTGGCAATGCTTCGTCTTTTTTTTTTTTTCCCATTTTTCCGTTTTCCTTACCGGTTGTTGATTTGCTTATTAATCGAATGCAAATTCTTCACTGAAATACATTTATTAGTTATTTCGTTTGCATCAGTTATTTCCTGATCAGATGTGAAATTTAATATTATTCTAAAAGTTGTTGTTTAGTAAGTGATACTTGTTTGAATTATCCTTTCCATACATACATGTATATTCATTTGAATTGATAAGATAGAAATGATTTTCTAAATAATAGAAATGATACTTTAGAAGTATAGTCAATGGGAGAAGGAGAGAGAGAGAGAGAGAGAGAGAGAGAGAGAGAGAGAGAGAGAGGGAGAGAGGAGAAGGAAGAGGAGAGTAAGCTGAAAATTTCAATAACAGGAAGTTTATTTGTGAGCTTGTGTAACTTGCTGACAAATATTCGAATGTTTTGCATTCCCTCGAGCAGTTCCTTCTTTTTATGCTCTTCTTAATTTTTGTATTTAAAATTTCCGAAAATAAAATGGTCGAGTGCTATTGAAAATAATTACAAAAATTTCATTTTCTTTTTTTTTTTTTTTGCATATATATTTAAGTTTGCAGCATCTTTACAACATTTCATTTTGTATGAAAACAATTCTAATAATTTCGAGAAGTCGTTCATTTATTCATTCATTGCATAGCAAATTTTTATTTAATACCTGTTTAACTTTCGTTTTTTTCCAGTCCATGCTATTTCTTTTTTTTTTTTTTTTGGAAAGTTGAAAGTTTTCGAAGAAAACGTTTTTCAAATTAATGAAAAAGATTCCCATTCAAAAAAAAAGAAAATATCTCCGGAAAAGTGAGGAAGTATGGCGAGCGCAATAGAAAAAAATGTATTGTTTTAAAATATTAATTACTCGCTGAAAAAAAAATTCAGAACTTAGCAAAAAATAAACCTGTTGTATTTCTGGATACGGAATATTTGGAACTGGTTGAATGATATTTTATTTTTCTCAATAGTCTTCTAATACTTCATAATAATATTCTTTATGTATTAATCTAAGTTGATTAATCTAAATTTTACTTTCCCAAGAATATTTTTCTTAGAACTCATTGGAATCCGTATAATAGAATTTGTGTAATCCTAGCATCTTTATATCTTGCTTTTTTAAAAATGTTTATGTTTTGTTTTAAATTTGTTATACATGAAGAAATATTAATTACTTGCCGGCGGACACCGGCTGATACTGATTCACTGTATCGCAGTTTTAAAAAGTTAAGATTCATTTTAAATTGGATGTATTACTTTTAGAAGTCTATGAACATTTCATCAGTTTTTATGTGTATTAATTCAATAGGTTTAACAGTCCTGGTATTTTTCATTATAAATTGTAAGTTGTAAAAATAATGCTTAATCATTGTATCCTGTTATCATCAGTTTTTTTTGTGAATTATATGTTGTTACAAACTATATTTGTTTTCTAAAATTTAGGAGATTGGTGAAGCATCAGAAATTAGGCGATGCATCATGACATTCACTGCCCGTTGCATATTTACTACAATGAGCATGAACTCAATGCTAATCAGCTTATATCTATTAGTCAGACAGTTCAGCCCAAATTCGAACTCGAGTTCCACAATGATGTTGGAGAAAGTCGAAAGTTTGTTTTCCAACCGAATCGAGAGTTATTGAAAACTACTGAGGTTTAATTTCCCGTATTTCTGAATGAAATTTTACCAAACGTCTAGCAATTGGAACAGATTCATAAAAGAATACTCTGAAGAGAAATGCATTTTAATTGTTACAAGACTTATTCTCATTAGTTATTCTCTCCGTAGCATTTTTTTTTTTATAAATTGCTAATACAACGAACTTATTCTTTAAGTCTGTTGTGAATTAACTCCTTATGATTGAATTTTTGAGTTTTAAAATTATATTGTAAAGATGTTTGATGAGACGTTTAATGTACTGAATGCTTTTTTTCAGGTTGACATACCATGTCATTTTGAGGGTACAAGCAATGCCGGTGAATATAGTGCTATGAGCACTTGTTCGATGTCACTCTTCGGGCAAGTCTTTACTATGGAGGCAATTTTAAATATCTTCCTGAGTTCCTATTGTCTTTTGCATTTTAATTGTACCTGCTTAAGAGACATCTTACAGTTACAAACTTTTTAAAAAATTTCTGTTGTATATTGACCAAAAATCATCAGTAGCTTTTATCTTAACAGATTAAATACAATAATGGTTAAACATTGCAAGATGACTTGTATACCGTTAGTTTTAAGACACCGTTTAGCTTTTACTAGAGTGGGCCACGCTATATAATCTTATATTTCATGTGACTACTAAAATTATCTGGAATTTTCGAGGGGATGAAACTAATTTATCTTATAAATTAAATCAAATTTCAGGGGATTATTTATGATAAACGGTCGACGATATGTGCTAGAAGCAAATTCGAATGCATCATTCCATTTCGTTCCATTATCTGATTATTCCTGTGGTAAGCATTTTTAGTATCATGTTTACTTCAATTTTATATAAAATGAAATGAAACGAAAAAAGAAATAAAAAAGCTTTTTCAGATTGGGGATTAAGAAGTAAGCGTTCCATTGTTGGATCTCATACAGCTGAATATTATGCTCAATTTTTAGATGAACGTTGGCGTTATGTGGAGTTAGCACTTATTGCAGATAAATTAGTGGTAACTTTCAGTTCTTAATAAAATTGTCTATGTTGCGCTTACATTTTGGCTTGTAAAATTCTAAGTCGTTAGTCTGAGAAAATTTTGCCTTTTAATGTCACACTACTCTTGAGCTAATCTTGATTTTATCCATCTAGTTCATTTCACCAAACAAGAAAGTAATAAATTTTGCTCTTTAAAATCTGAATTGAAAAAGCAATCCTGCTAGAATAATGTGACAATATTGCTTAAAGATTCTGCCCCAGAATCTTTAAGCAATATTGTCATATTTGATCGGTTCAAACGTTAAAAGATTAGTCATCCATATTGCACAGACGGTTATCCGCTACCATTTGATATAATTCAAGATAATTGCCCTTTATTTCAGTACCCTTTAGTTTACAATAAGTCTTTGCGATCAAGCATGAAGACTTATTATAAACTAAAGGGTACTGAAATAAAGTAATGAGTACAAAAACGTGAAAAAATTTTAAATTCCTTTTGTCGTTCGTTGTGTCCAATGTTATTTCTGACATATAGGTAGTATATGTAATTTAGTATATTACGTAAATGGACATTCCACAATTAAAATGGGGACAGATTCATAGATGTTGCTAAACATGCTATAGAGATATTTTATTGTAAGTTATTAACATTAAAGGAAAAGAATTAGCGAGTGTTGTGGGGTTTTTGTTTTTCGTATATATTTTTGTAACGTAGTCCTCTAAAGAAAAATTTATATTACAATGTGATGAATTGTGAAATTTCAGTTTGAGAAGCATCACAACAATATAACCGATGTTATGCAAAGACTTAATGCTATCACCAATTATATCAATTCGGTAAAGGCTTTTTTTGATTGGTGTGTTTTTGCTGTAACAATATAAAATAACTTTCGACTTGAATTTAAATTTCGTCCATTTTGGTACTAAAATCTCAAAAAATTTCGAAAGCGATTTATGAATATGACGTGAGTACGGTATGTATACTTTAGTTGTACTTGCCTATTAATATTCGAGTGGTTCTTGTTTGGGCTGATGTATGGACAACTAGTAATCCAGTAGATATTACATCAAATTCTGATACGACGTTGTGGAATTTTTTGAACTGGCGAAAAGGATTGTTGAAGGATCATCCGCATGATAATGCGCATTTACTTACGTTAGTTACTGCTGCAAATTTCTGCTTTCCATTAATTTTATTTCCATAAATACATTTAAAGCGCGTTTTCTAGTAATGAAATTTTTTGTTAATTTACTAAAAAATTTATGTTTGGCATGCTTCAAGCATTCCTTTTCATCCTTTTAACTTTGTTTTGGATTTAATAATATTAGCTCCCTCTAATATATTGCAATTGATGCTCAATTTCGAGAGTTTAGTGGGTTAATGAAAGGATTTTTAAAAAAGAGCGTTTCTAGTCAATTTTGTGATAAATTCACATCCTAAAATTTTGTTTGTTATTTTGCAGTGGAGTTGTATTTGAAAATAATATTGTTGGAAAAGCTTTCAAAGGCACTATGTGTTCGTATGATTTTTCGGGTGGAGTCGATATGGAACACAGTGATCAGGCTGCATTTGTTGCTGCAACCATTGCTCATGAAATGGGACATAATTTTGGGATGGAACATGATATCGATGAAGTGGAGTGTCGTTGTCCAGCCAAATCATGTATTATGTCACCATCTACCGGGTAAGGTTGCACTTAGTTTACTTGTGCCATTAGTTGAATTCAAGTTCAGATGATGGAATTTTTAGAGATGATTAGGTTGTGACTTTTTAGAACTGACACTTGACAAAAAGATTAGTTGCAAACAAAATTTTACACTTTTATGTGTAATGTATTTTGGAGGATGATATGGCGAATTTTTTTTGCACTCACTATGACGGCTAAGGTGATTAGTTTTGCATTGTAAAAAAAGAGTATGGTAATCGTCAGAGTCATCTGAAAGAAATATCAAAGACATTCATTAATTAATCACTATTTAAGAAAGTCTTCAACATACTGATTAAAATTCGATTTGCAAAATTAATTTATATAATTTTTAGCATTACGCGTCCAACATTTTGGTCAGAATGCAGTATGCGTGCATTACAGCACAGTTTTTCGCGTGGAGTGGATTATTGTTTACGCAATTCTCCTAAGAGTGTATTTGGTGGTGCACGTTGTGGCAATGGAATTGTAGAAGCTGGGGAAGAATGTGACTGTGGAACACCGGTTTGCTTGATTTTATTAGTTCTTACGGGAATAGTTCTGAATTCATCGCGCTGAGCAGTTCATATTAAAGTTTCAATGAAAACGTATCTTAAAAAGGTTCATACTGCGAAATATTTTGCTCCATCAATCAAATATTTAATGCATCTTTGATCATATTCAAATTATTTCCAGTTTAAACAGGGAGCATCTTTGAAATTCTAAATTTTTTTCATTATTTTAAATTATATTGCATGACTGAAGACTCATGGATTTATTGTAATGAGGGAATAATTACAGAATCTGCTGTAATCGTTATACTTCAGTCTTCATATATGGGACGTGAAAAACAAAAGAAAATGTAATATAATAGTTACAACTATAAAATCCATAAGATGAAGAATATCAATATTTTACATGTAATGGTCAGTATATGTTTTTTTCTAGAGCTCCTGTATCAACAAATGTTGTAATCCTGCAACGTGTCAACTAGCGGAAGAGGCTGTCTGCGCCAGTGGTGAATGTTGTGATTTGAATACTTGTCAGATATTACCAGCTACTACCGTTTGTCGTCAAGCAGTTAACGAATGTGATTTACCAGAATACTGTGATGGACATATGGAACACTGTCCAGCAGATTTCTTTGTGCAGGATGGTCATCAATGCCCAGATCATATTGATGTTAATAGTTTTAACTTCTTTTTCTTTAGTTGATATTGCAAACAAAATAACTATCATGACCAAAATGTTGTGTTAATAACTCCTTGGCGAGTTAGATTATTTAATACAAAACAACTTTAATTATAAATAATCCAAATTTCAAGAAGTTCACGATGTTGTTACAAATGGTCTTATTGGGTTTTATTGCTATTATTATTTGTTTATTAATATATTATTTGTTTCTTAATAGAACATATGAGTTTTCTTGAATTTATCATTTAAAAATGATAGTTGTTTGCAGGATTATTGTTATAATGGTTATTGTGGAAGTCGTGATGCTCATTGTCAGCATATTTGGGGACTAACCGGAAGAAATGCAGCGCCAGCATGTTATGATTTGAATTTATATGGGAGCAGTGGTGGAAATTGTGGTTTTTTGCATGAGACTAATCGTTTTGTGCCGTGTGATAAAAAGTGTGGTTTTTTTTTTTTCGCTTTGATATTTATGTAATATTATTGATACTAGCAGACCAGGTCAAAGGATAGGTCAAATTGAACCATCTTGCATCTCACTTCAGGAATCTCTTTCGAAAGTTCATGTTCGTCATAATATCATGGGAGAACCTGTTAAAGATGAGTGAAAATCTCGTGATAAACATGTTTTATTGAAGATCCATATGAAAAAGATAATATCTGCCACATTATTCGGCTTCATCTTTTTGTGAGAGGATTAAGATTTTGAGGTTAGTTCTGAATTAGCAAGAGCACGATAGAAAGTAAAAAGAGATTGGTAACGGATAGGTTAAAGAAATAAAACAGTCATGCGGAAATGTTTTCAGTAATATTCAGTGTGGACGATTGCACTGTATTCATGAGAATGAGAAATTGGCATTTGGTGATCCGTCAACAGTTTACACAGCATACACTGGTTTACGGTTAAAAAATGGAGAAGATGTTGCGTGTAGAGTAGTTTGGACAAAATATGCGAGTGGTCAAGAAGAAACTGACCCTGGAATGGTTCCAGATGGTGCATTTTGTGGTTTGGATAAGGTATTTTTATTTTTTTATGAGCAAACTTCTAGCATCTTGAAAATCTAAACTTTTTGGTTTTACAATTTTTTTGAAAATTCACTTAAAAAAATTGAAGGAATTCATTTTTTAGATGTGCGTTGATGCAAAATGTCAAAATCGAACTGCAAAAGTACTTATGGCACCAAAATGTGAACCAGTATCGTGTAATAATGCTGGAATCTGTAATAATATGGGTAATTGTCACTGTGATCCAGGTTACGGTGGACCATCCTGTGCTATCCCTGGTCCTGGTGGGTCAGTAAATAGCGGTCCTGCTACTGAAGGTGGTGTTATTCATGTAGGTTTTGTGGTATTTTGGCTTCTTCTGATATTGACTGTTGCGTTCATTGGTATTTCAATTATCGTGAAACGGAAAAGAGACTTCTGGCTTCATAAAGAGTACGTTAGTTTCTAATATTTCAAAGTTTTAGAAGTGCTTTATCTAACATTTAATGACTAACTGGAATCAAAACATCTAATTAACTGGCAGATTTGATAATTGATGTCGCAAGTCTCTTTTGGTAAAGGACTCAAGCACGATATATGACATGAATATTTTGATAATTTTATATTCTATTATTTTAGAATTTGGGAAAAGTTGAAGAAGGCATTGAAGATCGAGAAGCTTTTGGTACCAATTCGGAAAGCGCCGCCACCACCACGATCAAGTACTATACGTACCGCCGATCTGAATTCACTATGGAATGATTCTGCATTTGATGCTTTACATACTCGCAATTATCAACAACCACTTCCACCCAGTATCAGTCCACCAGTTGTTCCATCCACTAATTTTAATTTATTGTCGGCAAAATCAATTGTTACAACACATCGTAATTCAATGAGACCAACCACTGCTCCTCCTAAAGTAGCTATTTTTTTTGTGATTTAAATTTCATATGTCGGATAACCATCAGCACATTTTTAGAAACAAAATGGAATGGTTAAATGGCTGGTATTGTGATTGTTTTTCAGCTGTTGCCTTTGCGACATTATTAATAAATGACTTCACTAATTTTCAATAGATCATGGAGGTCATTATATCCAGATAATTCATCTGACTGAGAGAATTTTCCATGATGTTATTAAAATTAATTTTATCTCTCAGTTTGATCTTCATAGAATCTGCATGATCTGTGAGTTTCATTTATTATAGGTACCACAGCGACCGCGAAGTGAGGCTTTACAAGCGCTGTATGCAGAGAAAGGGAATGAACTTAGTATGAATTTGACTAAGAAAAGTTCACCGATGTATTGCATTCCACCAGAAGCTAATACAGTAAATGTGGTAAGGACAGAAAGTTTAAGGCCCATGCAGGCACCGCCTCCACCGCCTCATCATAATCAGGTATTGATATTTTCGATTTACCAAAAATGGTATGGATAAGATAATCCGATCTCGCTTCAGAATCGCTTAGTTACATTTCTGCAATCATGGTGCGCTCTCGTTTTACCTAAGATAATTGTATCATCCTGTTTTTATCCATTAGTTATCTTTGACTGATTTGCCTTAGCTCTCCAGTAAATTACAATTATGTCTATTGTTTTCCCCACAGTGAAAAAATTCATGTTGTCGGATTTCGCATTGAATTTAAATTTAAATTTGCTATTTAATAAAATCTTGTATTATTTGAGGCTGCAGTATATTCTTATTTACTATTTGCGTACTCCAGCTTAAACATTTTATAGAGTTTTTTATGATAAAATTATTACATATTTCAAAACTGAATTATTTCCATTTTAATCTGAAATTTGTCGGAATCTGATTTCAGGCTAAAAACAACGATACATCTGATAATAAAGGTCCAATATTGGCTGCGAAACATTCAAATGTAAAGGATATTGCTGCACGTTTTGATTCTAAGACGTCTCAAATCTCCACTAAATTTATCTAAACTTTTTCTCACATATGTGATTGTACTGTTTGTATTAGTAGAATAAGTATTTGCCATAAACAGGTGCACGGTTCTTCTTTGTTCCGAGATGGCTTTTTGATATCACAATCCTTAATCTTTTGAGTTTTTTTAAAAAAACTCAATTATTTATTTAAGACGACGCATGATTTTTGCTTCATTTCATTATATTTCCTAAATTGATTTAGGTAAAAATTTGTCGATCGTCATATATTTGAATACTCGTCATATTCCGTACATTCATCTGTTTTTTTAACCAAAAAGTTAAAAGCCATTTCAGAAGTGCAGTTTTTTAAAACCGGTCAACCTTTCTTTCAGAATTTTGCTGTTGTAGAATCTATTGATCTTTTTCTGACTATGAAATTTACTTGAATTTAATGGATGGTATGAAATCATTGACAAGGAAGCTTTCATATGCTTTGTATATCTTTGTTTGCAAAATATGCTGCTAAAAATTAAATATGTTTTTATGTTTCCAATTTTTAGCTATTGTTATCGACTGGGCGAAATGAATTGTTGCTTAGTAATAAGTCGTTTTGAAAAGTTTCACAGCAGAAGTTCTGAACTTCTTGTCTTTGGTAAGTTTTTCATGATCTATAATAATCAAAATACTCTCTTTTAATTGCAAAAGGATCGCATATTGCAAAAAAGGCGAAACAAATTTTTGCGCGAAAAGTTACAGTGACATAAATTAGCATATGTCCGTGAGTCATGTTTTTTCTTACATCCTTCCCTGTTTTTTAATTTTTTCTCTTCTTTGGAAGACAAATTCTCAGAATTCTTGCAAAAATTGATTGAAAAATAAGCATATTTTAATGATAACATTTGGAAACTTTTAATTGATTCGACGGAACTATCCAGTCATTCGATGGGATCCAATATTTGATGGATGGTCTCTTTGCATCATCAAAAGATTTTGCGTTAATTAAGATTTTTTAAAATACTTTTTCGTCTTTTTAATATCACTTTGTTTATTGCTTATTGTCTTTTTAATTTTATTTTGTTTATTGTTTTTATTGAAGTTTTCAATTTTCATTATTGCTTATGATTCCATTCATAAAATTATGTATCCTTTTTCGGTACTTTTACAAATTTGATGAAGATTTCAATTCTTCTCATTTCTACCACCATATATGTATGTATGTATATGTGGTGGTGAAATGCTGTTACAATCGTTCCACTCAAATTTCTTACGTGAATAACGTTGCTGAGAACAAATGCATGGTTAATTAAAGGTTTGCTGTTAAGAGTTAAATGAATAAATGTTGCTTTACATTGCTAAATAAACATCTGAAACAATTAATAGCAACAAGGCTTTCTGTGTTCCGAATTTGCTTTTTCTTTTAAAGTTTCTTTTTTATTCGCATGACAATTTATATTTTATACCTCTCATTGAAAACTAGATTTGTGGAGTAAATACAAAAAGATACATTCATTTTAATTACACTGCGCCTTATTTTTTTTTCTTTTTTTTTGCATTTTTCAGTTTCTATTCCTGCATTCTTAATCTTTCGATCTTATTGCTCGTTTTTACTTTACTTTATATTCTTTCTATTTATTTCAAAAATTTGCTGAAAAGTGACAGTTAGGTTCTTTTTTTCAATAAATTTGGTCCTTATATATGCCGATTAAAAAATTATGCTTAAATGAATACGGGACAGGTGGAATAGTGCTATCATAGTTTTCCAAATATTTTTTTTTTTTTCGTTGCTTTTGTCTGTAAAAAGAAGTACAGTGAAGATTTCCCTCAGACTTCAGGATCATGTTCTGTTTCTGATTGAATTCTGTAAACGAAATGTTATTGTTGTATTTTGCTATCGTTGAAAAGATAGAAAACCAAAGGGGAGAGGGAAAAAAAAAAAAGCTAAAAGAATCCCTGAAATACTTCAACAGAGTATCGCAATACATTTTTTGAGGGTGAAGAAGATTTACAAAAAAAAAAAAAGTTCATTTTCCATGTAAAATTTTCAGAGATAGCTTTACCCACCATCCATCTTTCGAATTAAAATTCCTGTTGTATGTTTTCTGTTCTATTTTGCTTTCCATATTCTTCCTTTACTATATTTTGTACTTATAATCGAATGATGGAATGTACACTTTCAGTCGTTATGTGTTCATTTTAAATTAATATTAAAATTTATTCGTTACAAATATACAGTAGTACATTTGTTGTCAATATTTTTACATGCAGAGAATAGTTTCGTCGAGAATTACAATTCTATTCAATGCCAATCATCATAGCCAAATAATATTTCGAATAATGAAGTAAAAATAAATAACAAAAAAAAAAAAAAAAAAAGATTTTCTTGACTACCGAAAATTTTCATCTTTTTAATTTCTTCTTTTCTTTTAAGAAGTTAGCGTCGTGTTAATAAATCGTTTTTATTCCATTAATAATTTGATTTATTATGTTATTCTATAATGAATCAAATTTTTGCTCTTCATATAATCATTGTTTTCTAGAGATTATCATGATGAAACATTTATGAGAAGCATACGATTGAGAAAAAGACACATATTCTTGAATAATATATTAACTTGATGAAGAATCATGATGATGTTTTATCCAGTAAAGTACTTGTGAAATGCTTTCTTGGATTCTTGATTTTGATAATAAAATAATTTGGCTGCATAGTTATTGCTTTTTTCTTTTATCGAATTTGAATGGTCCATTTTTGAATCCAATTATATCATATTTTTCATAGGTTTTTATTTTTTTGTTATTGCTTACAATTGTTCGTTTCCAGTAATGCAGTTACAGTGATCGATATGATGCAACTTGGCTTCATTTTGGCCACTTTCTTTACCATCACATTTGAGATAGGAAGATATTTCTGAAATATTATTATCTGTTAGTGAAATGTAACAAATTACTTAAAATTTTTGCAAATTATTTACAAAGTAGATTTACTATAGGAATGAAGAGCAAACTTGTGGTTTATTTAAAGATTACAGAGTTTTTCGCGTACTTTACTTCTTATTTACTTCATTAATAATTCTTATCATTTGATCTGTCTATCTATTTATCTACTAACTTCACTATTTGCTAATTTCAAATTTATTTGCTTACTTGAACTGTGATCATTTTTCAAATTCTATTTTCAAGAGTTTAAGTTTATTTTTTCCATTTAATTGTTTCATTACGATTGTCATAATTGTCAATTGTAGTAACGGATAAAAACGTATCACAATATGCTATACTTATAAATTCAATAAATATGCTTTACAATTCACTTACAGTTAATTACTAAATTCAATGACATCTGATATCATTGGGTGTTTTTTGTGATTTCGATAAAGCACACACATACTATTATGTCAATGTAAATCCATCTTTTGCTACTTCTACTAAATTTTTAAACTTTTTCAATCAACTCAAAGGTCAACTTAATAACATAAAGATAAAAGATAAGAAGCGCAAAGTATTGTTCATCATTTCATTCATTTATTTTCCCAGTAACACATATACATATCAAAGTACTTAAAAATCGATATACAAATTGATTGGTAGATCAATGGAAAATTCTTGTTTTCATCCACAATAACATATAAACATATTTGAGATGGAAATTAATGTTAGACGAAAATGAATGTTTTTTAAATTAAATTTTTGAATTAGTAAGTCAGAATTAGAAATAAAATTCTAATTAATAAAAATAATTAAAAAAATTCTTCGTATCATTTCCAAAGGAATGTTATAAAAGTGAATGGAGAATTTAACTTATCAAAAAGTAAGCCAATTTATAAATTATTTATCAACTTCATTTGTTGCTTTTGTTATCAATAATAATATTTATAATTACATTTACAATTGAGAGAATGGGTAAAAAAATGATTTATTAGTTTATGGAATAATACATACATAAAAGGATATTGAAAAAAAAAAAAATTTTTTTCAATTTTTTTTTTTTGCCCTTTTATTCTGAATCATTTTAGTTAAGAATAATCTGTTGAGTGCAAATTTTTTTAATGGTTATTTTCATCAATATTTACTTTGAACATGAAATATTGAACCTTCAAAATTTCTTGTGCGGGGACATTCAACTAAATAAGAATGAAAAAGAGAAGGAGAGAGAGAGAGAGAAAGAGAAAGAAGAAAGAGAGAGAGAAGGAGAGAAAAGGTGCACGTATTGAAATTATTGAATAGTTTCAAATTGATAATGAATTTGGTTGAATTGAATGATTTCAAATTGATAATGAAATTACTTGAGTGGTTTGAAATTGCTTGTCATTCGTTTCTAAAATCTTTTTTTTTTTTCATCGTAAACTAATGATTTTGTGCTTATTAACCTTTTTTTCATTATCAAATCTTTTCCCTTCATCATTCTTTTTATTGGAAGAAATGTATATATGTTAGCTTACGTATATATGTTAGCTTACGTATATATGTTAGCTTACGTATATATGTTAGCTTACGTTCATCAGTTACGTTTTAATACCGGTATGATCATTTCTTAACAACAACTGTTATACTTATATAATACATTTAATGAGATATCAAAATGTGCTGCACGTGAATTACTCATATTCATGTGAAGCACTTTTTCTTTAATCTATCAAAATAATATATGCATCCGTACTTTTCTAAGCTCTTATCTATAAATCAAACCCGAACAACTGTTGAATATTGTTTGCGTAATATAATGTTAAAGTTTTCTTCATAATGAAAGAAATGAGAGAAAGAGAGAGAGAGAGAGAGAGAGAGAGTGAGAAAGAGAGAGAATGTTTTCCTCTTCGGTATGATCAAAAATCGAACATTAAAAGTGGTGTGGCGTAAAGGGGGAGGGATTTCATCATGCAACGAAATTTATAAAACCCATAGCAGTTGCTGTGCGTTACCATTTAATCACTTCATCGCATATACTTTTTATATGTTATCGATCGGAAAGATTTTATCCTTCTGGAAGCTGATCGATTGACCGAGCAATTATGTGATGAGGAAGGGAAGAGCGTAGTTGCTATGGCGTTATATGATGTATCTATCTTGTTGGCCTTGTTATATTGCTTCTTTTTGTCTGCTTTTTTTTTTTTTCTTAATACACATACATACACGTTGCACACGCATACACACACGCATACACACAGGTACATACGCACACAAAGATTTAATACGTATATAGCACTCCAATTGTTTTATTCTGCACATATTTTAGATCATAACATATCATGTAATTAAGAGTAATACGTAAGTAACATGAAGGCATAAATGATTTATATATATGGTATCACGTAGAAAACGAATATATCTACGCTTTTTACTTAATATATTACCATGTAGTGTTTATTATTTGCGTCAATATTATTACGTGAAGAATGAAAAAGTTAGCGAAGAGGATGTTAGCAGCATATTTTTACTGATATTGATTTTAAATTTATTTTGTACTTTTTTTCACTTTTTTCCCTTTTTTTCACACTTCTTTGTTAATTTTTCTTTTTTTTTTTAAATACTTTTCGTATATTGAGAAAGAATGATTTATAAATTTTAGTTGAAATTTTCCATTGATAGATTTAATTGCTGGAAATTTGAGAAAGAGTATTTTGTAAGATTTGTCGAAATATGTCGTATCACATATACGCTATAGTTAGTATATATAAACGGTTAATTGAAATTAGTTATATAGGTAAAATTTAATAAACGTTCTAATTAATCATTGCTATATGCTTTGTATGAACAGTTAAATTGATAATTAGTCATAGAGATAAGATTAGTAAATGTAAACAAATAATGACAATAATTATGATAAAGCATTAGAATTAATCATCATATCTTTCTGTTTGTCACTTGGTTATCACTTAATTATGCCTGTTTACTTATGCGCATCGTGTTAATTAATACCGTGATTGAAATCAATACTTGTTAAAATATTCAATTGAAGGTATTTTTTAGAAAAAAAATGTCAAATCGAAAAACAGAATCAGCATCATGTGTTATGCTTCCTGGAACAAGTAAATTAGGTATTGGAAATGTTCTCCCAACAACATCACAGCTTGTTAATGTTGAAAGACGTGCAACATCTGAAGTTTCACAGTGCGGTAACTTCTTGAAATTCTTCAACGTATGTTACTTTTTCTTTTTACTTCATACTTCCTCTTCAATATTTGAATTAATCATTTGGAGGATTTTTAGTAATTTCAAATGTTTAAAATACACTTAGTTCAAGAGATACTTTGAAAAAAAAAATTTATTATTACCTGGAAGAATTACAGAACTGAGGATACGATAACAGAATATGTAATGCATAAAAAATTTTTTCATCAACTTTCTATCTTTCACTCATATTTTCGTTAATAATTTTAGAAGAAATTATTCTAAAAATTTGACTTTACACTAAATATCACTCTTTTTTTCTAGATTATTCAGTGTATTCAATATGACTTTAAATTATTCAATGTATTTTAGGCTAGTGGCGTAATGAATATTTTTGGACGTGGCTTCTTAGCGGAACCAGTGCTACGTGATGAGGAAGAAAGCTATCGTTATCTGATGGCTTTAGATCGTTACTAAATGAGAAAAGCCATACAACTTCTCATATAGCTCATTATCATCCATCGATGATTTATACAATCGGAAATGCATTAAATCCATCACATCTCTTCTTTCTAAATTTCTCTTATTCTCCTTTTCTTTTTTCCTTCCCCATTTCATAGTTGAATTATCAATTTGTTTCAGTGATTATTCTGCTAGGATATATTTTCTTTCATGTTGATTAGGTTTTCTTCATCTTTCACTACTGAGCATCATTTCCGCAAGAATTCAGTATAATATGCATTTGAAATTAGTTTTTTATTATTTTTTATCAGGATTTTAATTACAGAAAGAAAAATTGCTTTCATTTTTTCACTCCCTGTGCTCTTAATTCAATCTACGCCGATTGTTTTTTTTTTTTATTCAAATTTTTTTTTCAAGTTTTAATTTATTGAAATGTATACATGTTCTATGTTCAATCTATGGAACTGTAATTCTACCTGTCTTTTTTGTTCAAATTTTTGATTTCATACAATATTTGTACTTTTCCAAGAAACATGGGTCTGCGTTTTCTTTTACATATTACCAAATTAGAAACAATGTGCGAAATATGTACGGTCACGCTTGATCAACGTGATAATTCACGAACATTGTACTATAAGCTAAAATCCTCAAATGCGTCAATCAAAGCTTCCATCGCATCGACAGGACTTTAGGTATGAATGCAAGTTCAGATTCGTTAGCATGGAGATATATATCTGATGCAGTTAGTAATTTGGATCAATAAGTTAGTTTTGGAGAAAGTTGATAAATAACCGTATTATTAACAGTGGCGCTTTTTTTAGCACACTTTAAATAGCTTTTAAACGGCTTTTTTGAGCATAAATTTTAGTGATTCAATTTCATTTACGAGAATTTCATTTAATTTTCAGTAATTTAAAGAATTGATTTACAATCAAAGAAATATTTAGTAAAGCAAACATTTAAGCATAATAAGATTAGATTTTTAACATTGCATTCAGTGAAAGAGCTTACTATTATGTCTTTTAAATTAAACTATAATAACTTTAATAATAAGTGGTTTCTCTTTTTCTCAACTCATATACGAGAAATTTCAGTTTTTGATTAAGAAAGAAATTTTGCATTAGGAATTTTAAAAAATTTTTCGTATTTTGAAAAATTTTTATTCAGAACATTTGTGAACACGGAAATAACATGATTTTTAAGGTGCAAATTTTTTTGGGATCAAAAGTAAAGCTGTGAAGAATGGTTTCTTTTATTTTTTTTTTTTCAAATTTATCTTGTGAGCCGATTGGTTAGTTTTTACAAGAAGTTTAATTACCTGCGTTTTTTTTATGCGTTTTATTAGGCAAAAAAAACGTGCATCCATTTTAAAATGATATTTGTGAGTGATATATCGAGATATAGTATATTTAATATAGTGTATTTGTATTGTGTTTAGAATTTTAATTTCTATCATTTGAAATCATTGGAATTCCTTGTCCTGCTATTTCAGTTTTCTTTTTTTTACGTCTAATTTTTGATGCGGGTTTTTATTGTATGTTTTTGTGTTGATAATTTGACAGATAGATTTTTACTCGCCTAACTTTTATGTTATCTTATTTTATAGCTCTTATTGCTTTTACATCAGATGGAAATGTCAGAATGAAATATGCATGTGAAAAATTTCCTTTAAAAAAATGCTAAAATTTTTTGAAGGTGAAAATGATGAAAGAAGAAAAAAAATAAACCGGATAATATGTTGTGGTGTTTTTTTTTTTGCATCTGGAAGCTTATTTCTAGCTCAATTTTGATTTTTATTTAAATGAAAGCGTAAAATCCTCATTGAAAATCGTTCTCGAGTGCATTTTTTAGCTGCCATTTTTCGAGTACACCTGACAATATTTCTCGTTAAATCTTACACTGATTCGATAGGATACTGATATCGTGAAACTACAGGAAAAAAATTGATATTTGACCTGTCCGACATGAGTTTGTGTGAACAGAAAGGGCATTCGGCATGTCCGGGTTCATTAAGCTGGCACACAGGAATATTGCTGATGTTGTGACATTGTTATCATCAACAAATTATCTGCGATAATAGTAATCTGGAGAAGAGCATTTGATTATTAATGTAACAATAAGTAACATTTATATGGCAATTTTATAATAATTACTTCAATTTCTTGTATGCTTTTAATCAAACAAAAGCATACAGAAATTGAAGAAATCATTTAAAATCATTTAAAATGGAGCATTTCGAT